CCCGGTGTATCGGTGCATGGGATCGGTGTATTTCATGTTTTCCCCCCCCCCCCCCCACTTCGCGGTCGCACTGCAATGATGTGTGCTCCGTGTGCTCCAACTGTATTTCCCTGACGAGCCTTTTTGAGCAGGAAAGAGCATTTTGTTCGGCTGCACACAGCCCAAGCCCACAACACAAGCCCGGCCAGACACTTTAAGGGGCAAGCGAAAGTTAGCCGGATCCTCATTCCGGACTTCAAGAGAGACAGAGGAGTGAGGCTTGCTGCAAACACCAAGCATGATGTGATTATCCACGATCTGGCAAGGGCGGTGAGCACGGAAAAGGTTTGCAACGGCCACCACGCATGATAATGCGCATACCATGGCCACACACATGTAGCGAGCCAAGTCAGCGTAAGTGACTCAATGAGCTAATCCATGAGTCGTACCCTCCCACAGCAGGGGAGGAAATATCAATTCCGACCACTTCCTGTGAACAAAATCCAACCCACCGTCAGGCTGTACTTTCGAATCAATTTCAAACTCCGTCACCCCGCCCATCAACAAGCTAGGGTCTACTATAAAACCAGCAATACTGTATCGAACCCCCCTCAACCTGCGACTGAATCTGCTACTGCTAGCTTGAATGACAACGGCGAGCAAGTTTCCAAAATCGCACGGATAATTCATAAAACCATGCGGCACAACAGCATTGCCTGCCGAAGCACCCTTGTCAAACGCTTGCCTTCGTTAGATCTCAACCAGAAACACTCGTGTGAGCAGGATCAATCATCTTTCTACATCATCAGCTTGAATTCGCAACCAACCCGAACAATAATGAATGACGGCTAGGTTCAGCATCTGGCTGTCGCATGATAAGTCACACTAGATTGAAGGTAGATTAACAGCTGGTGCTTGCCAGACCAGCCATGCAGCAAAATCTCCACACCCAGAGCCGATTCCCTGAGTATGGGGAGTTGGAAGGCGAATGGCTCCAGTGCAAAAACAATGGTTTACCTGTACACTGAACATGTCAACGTTGCCATGGTGATGCTGCTAAGCTAGTTCGATAACGGCAATTTACAAATCCCAAAGCATCAGCAAACTAGTGTGGTTCTTGTTCTATGGCGGCAATGATTTGATGACTAGCTTCGTCCCTAAACCCTAAACCACCATACGGCTTTTTGGCTGCGAACTCTACACGAAACCCAACAAACTGATGCCTTCAAACTCCCAAGAGCCAGCAATGCCTGCAGAGAGAAGACCGAGTAAGTGACATGGTGAACTGTGTGGCCCGGGCGCTCATGCACAAAGGTGCATGTACTCTCTCATTTATATATGTATGTATGTATGTATATATACAAATATATATATATATATATGTATATGTATATGTATATGTATATGTATATGTATATGTATATGTATATGTATATGTATGTACACAATATATATATATATATGTATATATATATAATATACATATATATATGTATATATATGTATATCAGTTTAGATACACACACATATCCACAAAAAAAGCAAGCAGCACACACACACAACCTACACACACACACACGTTATACATATACAGTGGATAAAATTTCGGATAAAATTATCATATATGTGTATAGATGTGCATACCGTCATGTAGATTTGTGTGTGCGGGTATGCACACAGCATCCATTTCGGTTCTGCAGCTGTGGCATCCCGGCTTTGAGGCGCGGGGACTGGGGACGACACGCTAGAGGCCGAAGGCCGAATACAAGAAAAGCCGTGCTTTTCAAACATGTTTTTGCATGAGGGGAAGGGAGCCTTTCAGACCACCCCAGACTACACTCTCTGAAACCTACTGTGATCTTCTATGATATACCCACATAACGACACAATGATAGTCAAACCTGAACGTAGTCTAGTCCTGGCCGCATGCTTCGCAAGCTAGGAGCCAGCCTTGAAGAGGTTTGAAAGTTTCGATGGATGCATTCACTAACAAGCTCTGTCTGCTTATTACTATCTAAGGCCAGTGTTAGAAGTCGTTCGCCGAAAGGGAAGCCGGTCAAAGAGAAGGGATCAACCGCCGTTGCTTAAAGAAAGGGCAGGCTTAAGAAGTATGAGAAACAGCTATCGTCTGGGGCCGACTTTCGGCCTCCACACAAGCCTGAAAGTGCTCCTGTTTCACCGATGCGCTTCTGTCCTGAACGTGCCCCATGTCACGTGTCCACCTTGAAGGCCTGCCAGAATCAAGAACCGGATGCAGAATTGGCTCTGTAATCTGCTTTTCAAATCCGCGAGGACAAGCAACGCTCGTCGCCTTGCCCGAAAATACACGTGGGCATTGCAAGGTTCGCTCTGCAGCTGGAAGTGTCGCCAGGTGCCTGTGGCAGTCTCCCGGCACGCACCGAAACCATGTCGCTTCCGCGCATCTTTACAAACACGTACAACACATGCCGGCACATGTCGCCTGGTCGAATCACCAAACTGGTCCTCGTCGTGCTGGACATCCAAGCCTAGGTGCACGGAACCGTGCAGTCAGACACAAGTGCAAGCACCCCCTTGTTTTGCAAAGCTTTCACCGGAGCTGGGAGTCGGAATGGATTCTTACTGGAAGCCTCTTAGAGACAGAATGGTCTTTTGGAGCCCATTCACCACTCGTGCCAAGAGTCGGTGTGCTGCCTGGTCCACGATCACGTGTGCGCATGCTGACCTCGGTGCTTCGATCTCGTAACTGCAAGAAACCCGCACCTTCAGCGATGATTCCGTTCACATCGTTAAGGCTCAGGCAAATAGCAGCCTGCTGCCATGGTAAGAGGCGTCAGCAGCATGCATAGGCTTTCAGCCTATCCAAACAGGTCAGGTAAGGGCACCTCCTTGACATGCAGACTGCAGCCTGTGCTAAGCTGGCGGCATTGAATTCCAAACCCAGAGACATGTCGAAGAAGGGCGTGATCTGAGTGTAGGTGGTCCAGGATTCATACTTGGTACCTTAGCACTTGCTCATGT